GTTATACATACACATACTTTGTTTTCAGATTCTTTTCCATTATAGCTTATTACAAGAAATTGACTATAATTCCCTGTGCTATACAGTAGGTCCTTGTTTATCTATTTTATATATACTAGTGTGTATCTGTCAATCCCAAACTCCTAATTTATCCCTCCCCTGCCTTTCCCCTTTGGTAACCATGATTTGTTTTCCATGTCCATGAATCTATTTCTGGTTTGTTAATAAAAGTTGAATCTTTTTTTAGACTCCAGATACAAGTGATATCATATAATATTTGTCTTTCTCTGTCTGACTTACTTCACTTAATATGATAATCTCTAGTTCCATCCATGCATAAGCACTTATTACCAGAATAAAATCTTTAGGAGGTCTGACCTTGGCCAGGGCTAGCCTCATATTCCATTTCCAAACCTGTTTACCTGGGATCTTTCATTTTGGAAATCAGAGCTGAGATCACAACCACAAACACAGAAGCAAAGTTTTCTGCTTTTCCATGTGTGCTGTGAAATAAAGTCAACTCAGATTTGTAATTGCTCCTGAAGCCTGTGTCAGGCTGGCGTGGGTGTGTGTGTGTGTCTGTGTGTGTGTGTCTGTGTGTGTGTGTGTGAATACATGGGCATGTGCACTGGGGGCAGGTGGGAAGGCAAGGTGGGGCTTTTCATAAAGCCGAATGAAATGCAGTAGCTCCTGCCCTGGTGAGAGTTTAAAATCTGGCTGAGAAAACTTTAGAAACATGTCATTGGTTCCATCTGATAGGTTATTTGGTGGGCGTAAGAAAATAACATCTGATGGAGGAAAAATCCCTGAAAAGCCCCAACCACATGCAGGTGTATTGCATGGCTGGTGGATACCACTCCTGAGACGCCAGGTCCAAGGCACCCAGCCCTGTTCTGCCTTAGCCACGCACCTCCCTTAGAAGTCTTTCCCCCTTGGGGACTTCTGAGGTCTGACCTGCCCCAAATAAAATGTATTTATGGAAACTCTTGGAAGGGGATTGCCAGCAGAGCCATTCAGAACATCCTATTATCTGCTGACGTCCTGGGTGTGGAAAGGCCAGATTGAAAGTCATAAGGCTGGAAGAGTCGTCTTTGTCTGCAAAACCACCTAATAACAACAGCTTTCATCCATTCAGCATCTGTCCTCTGTCCTGCGCTTTACACAGCTGTATCGCTGAGCCTGGAAGCAGGTTTGTAAGGCAGGAAGCATTATCCCCCTTTTACTTATAAGAAGACTGAGGCTCCGAGCGGTAGAGACTTCTCTGATGTGACTTGCTCACAGGTAAATCAAATCTGGGCTTTCTGCACCACCGTAGACTTACCTGCAGCTGCTCGTCACACCTGGCCCCAACCTGGTCGGAACCTACCTGGGACGTTGGCAGGTCGCCTCTCTTTCACCCCTTCAGGAAGTCTTGGGTACTGCCTGCCCAGGAGGGATCCGTCCATCTTACCTTGCAGTAGCCCGTTTGCCAGTAGTCCTTCCCAGGGGAACTTTCGTCTCCAGACATTTCTCTGCGGCGGTGGAGGCTCCAGACACCCCTGTCCAGGGCATCTATAATAAAGATTGATAACCCGACCTTGGTCTTGAATGAGACATCGATTGCAAATGACAGACAATGGAGAGAGTCAAAAGTCCCCCTTAAGTACAGGAAGACGCGAGGTTTGGCAATCTAAGCAGTTGGAGAAAGGTGTGTTTCCCTAGTCATCATTGGCAATCTCTTTGCTAATTGCCCAGGGTTCTGACTTCTTCACTTTAGGGGAGTCTCGTCTAATGGACTGTCTGGGGAAGCATCTGATTAACAATCCCATTCTGGCTACGAGTCTGGCTGGGAGGGTGGGGTCATGGATACACTATCAGAGTCTAAGGCGTGCAGTTTGGTGAAGCGATTGCAAGGAACTCCAAGTTCAGTATCTTACCCTCTCCCGTTCCAAAATTTAATGTTGACTTGTGAGTGGGAGGTGGGATTCGTTTACACAAGCTCTGTTTCCCCATCGCATTTTATTTCCAACCGAGTCGGACCAGGTGGTGGAGTTTGGTTTCCTTTCCTTTTTGGAACTGCTCTCCGTTTTACTGTTGAACTGGTTGCCTCCCACCCCCACCTTTGGACGCTATGTTTTCCTTCACAAACGGACTCCCTTAGGGGGAAAAAAAAAGGAACGATCCCTAGCCCCTCTCCTGTCCTCTGTAGCCTGATCTATTTAAGACGTTCTCTTCAAACAAATCCTGCCCCAGTTTCTCCAGGGGCCGCCTCTTCCCCTCCTGCCCTCTGCCGCGCGCATCTGACACCAGCTCGAGAATCTTGTAGTTTCTCGCCTTGCCATTCCCAGCGGAATTTGTTATTCAGCACTTCAAAGAGGAGACTTGTTTGCACCTCTTGTTTCGAACAATAGACCAAATTTCCTGTCGCTGCTTCTCTTAAAAACTGCCTCCCTCGAGCTGCCTGGAAACAATTGCCGCGAACACTATTCAGAGGAGAAAAGAGCTAAATCCTCACCCATCCTCCCTCTGAGAGGAGACCGGGCCATGGGGTGGAGAAGGTCACAGGCGTGGACATCAGATGGGACAGACTTGTGTGCAAACCCTAGGCTCTGTAGCTGAGTAGCTGGACGACTTTGAGCTGCTTACTTAACTTCTCTGAGCCTCTCTGTCCTCACCTGTAATACACAAACCATGATGAACCCATCCCATAGGGCTGTGGTGAACAGGAGATGAATGATGTAGCAAACTCCTGCCTGAAGATGGAGGTTAAGAACACATTCCCTGATCCCAGGCCAGGCTGCCCAGATTCAGATCCTAGCTCCAACATATTCTTTCCCTGTATCCTTGGACTTACATTGCTTTAACTCTGTGCCTACACCTCCATATCCTTGAAAGAAAACACTGCACACCTCGTAGGATTGAAGAGTTAATGCATGGAAGGCATCAGACATGGGCACGGACGACACTCAGTGAAGATTTTATTCTTACTCCTCCTTATTCCTCACTCCAGAAGGGATTTTTGGCCCCACTCTCCTCCCTCAATAACTCTGTTTTATGCTTTTCTGTCTCTCTTTGCCTAGCTGTCACAGTTTTTGTTCCCCAGCCCAGCTCCGTGTCATAGAATACTCACAGCCCATTGGGAGTATAATACTTGTCTGTACTTTCTTGTTCCAGGAGTACAGTTTCTGCTTAACTTCAGGATGATCAAAACACCGGAGAAATGGATTCACAGCCCTGCAGTTTTAGGATGGGGGAAGTATTCTGTGCAACGCTACAATGTGTTTCTCAAAACTCATAGAATATATAACACGAAGAGTGAACCCTAATGTAAATGGTAGACTTTAGTTAATAAGAGCACATCAATATAGAACATTAATTGTAACAAATGTACCATGCTAACACAAGATGTTAACGATGAGGGGGGCTCTGTGCGGGGAAGGAGGTACATGGGAATTCTCTGTACTATCTGCTCAATATTTCTGCACATCTAAAACTGTTCTTAAAAAAAGTAAAGCAGATGCTCTTACATGCCCCTGCCCCTCCTAACACACTCACGAATAATGACCAGCAGCCAGGAAGTGACAGCATCCCTTCTTGGAAGACCTGAAATTAACAACTGTTATCTTGTCTCAGGTCGTATGCTAATGACCCTCGGTGAGTCAGCTTTGTCCCTGGTGGTAGTGAACCAGACAGGAGACCTTCTCAGGCCTGACCAGGGGTCTCTAAATCAAGGTTCCTTCAATGTTTCAGAAGTTCTGGAGTAAACAGTGTTGGGAGTGAATGGCCCTTATCTCCTTGTCCCCAAGTTCACAGAGCAGGAGGGACCATCTGTGATTTCCCACACCACCCCACCCCCATATACACACATACAAACTTTCAAATTCTGGGCTCTGCTGTAACCACAGTAATGGACTTGGCTTTCTCAGGCTCTAGGCCTCTAATCTTGAGCCACTGGCCTCATCACTCTGACTTGCTAGACATGGTACTCTGGTTAAATGAATCCCTGGAACTTCCTCTGAGTCCAGAGGCCAAACTCAATGAAAGAAGCAATGGGTCCCCTGGAATGAAAACAGCCTTCCCACCCAACACAGATCCCACTGAGCGACTGAGGTCTGACGGTTTAGTGTGCTGGGGCCAAGATGACAATGACCATCAAGTAAAGAGCAACCACCAAGGGACAGCAGGAACTTCAAAAACATATTTAAACATAGCCAGAAACTTCCTCCAGCATATCCTGTCTGGTTGCCAAGTTCCCAAACTCTTACCCTGTGAGATTGAATTTCCATGGCGTGTCACTGGTTAATAAAACCATCAATTTAGAGACATTTATCCAGAGTGTCCTGGAAAGGGTTGGCCCCGTTGGTGTTATCATGCGTTCAGGTTGCTACTGATCCAACAAAAGCCAAATCATAAGGCAATGGAATTTGATGTGAGCAGCAATATTGAGAATTATTAGTTGGTAATTATTACACGTGGCCTTAGTTGCATGATTTAGTGGAGAAAGCACAAAATGGTGAGGCAGAACACGTGGGGTCAGATCAGACTCTACTGCTAACTAGCTATGTGACCTCTTCAAACCTCTCTTTTCTCATCTACAAAATGCGGGCAATAATAATTGCCTCGTGGACTTGTTGCAAAGAGTAATTGAGATATCACATGCCTGCTGTCTGAGAAGGTACTTAGCACATCTCCCAGCACAGGTTCGTTCCCTTCCTTAAGACATAGTTGTAGATCTTCGTGAATGATGTTTCTTTAAAATTCGCCTGAGCCCAAGAAAATATAGTAGGTGAAAAATAAAACATAAAATGATGCATCTGACAACTTCTCTTATTTCACTTTGCGTTTCCAGGCTTCGGATGTAAATAATTTACAGTGTTAAAAATGAGTTATCAGCGGGTCTTTGAGGGACAGAAGAAAACTCTTTGTAAAATGAGGGATCGTCTTCATAATGAGGGACTGCTGAGAGGAGTGGAAATTTAGAACTTAGACAAGCATCTTTTACATAGTATTCATCTGGTCGGATAGGATTTTTAATAATTAAATGGTTTTACTGCACTATCAGTGATATTTTATTAAGCTTAAATGAAATATACACTTAGGAACTTAATTTGAAACATTGCCTACTTTGTTATTCTATTTTTCATAATTGCATAAACTTGAAAATTATGTTTTCCTTTCTGCATTGCATTATCTGCCTACACGCTCAGCCTTTTGCTTTATTTATAGGAGCAATATTTCTTGTGTTTTAAAGGAAATTGATATGAAAAATCTAAATGACAAACCCAAGGCTGGCTTCAAAAGTTTCTGACTAATCGCTAATGAAATATCCATAATAGATGAGGAGGAAAGCATAAATTGCAGTGAAATGTAACTTCACTTCACAAATGTCTCGTGTTTGTTTGACAGCTTTGGAAATTTTCTTTGTCATTTTTGGAAATCAATACAAAATACCGCTAAACACCAGACTTAGCTGCTCAGCACCAAGACAAAATAAAAGATTGAAAGCTCCTCTGTCACCAGCTGTCAATTGCCAAGAATCATATTGCCGAATGCTATCATTTTTTTCCTCTCCCTACAAACAGTACTCAGTCTCCATGAACTCTCGTTAAGGGCCAGATGCACACGCATTATGGTGGTGAATTCACAGCACAAAGGGATGGAACAGCTGGTGGTTATTGGTTTAGTTGATCAATACAGACGGGCCAGGGAGGAACCATCACCGTCACCGCCTCCGCCCACCCAGTTCTCACATCTTGAGACTCCATCGTGTACTCTGACTACCGCCAAAGCACGGATTAACCTGCTAGCCTAACTTTCCTTTTCCCTCCATGCTAAGACGCCTCCTTTATCAACAACTCTACCGTCTCAGCAGCATTCTCCTATGGGATGACTTCTCCCTGGACACCGTCACCTGTTTCCCAGAGGAGTCCCCCATCCACCCCTGTCAGGCTCCCCACTGTTGGCCCTTGTATTCCATACCCTGAGCCCCAGAGGGGCTACTCTTACAGGCTCCCCTTCCACTCTGGTTTCCCACTGGCTTGAGCTAAAGGATGGACCTGCTTTGTGAGAAGTTGGAGGACGGAGATTGGAGGAAGAAGAGGCTGGGACTTTGCCTCCTTTCTTGTGTCTGCTTTGCCTCTGGAATTTGAACATTCTCCTACAACTATGGCTTCCACCAAGCCATCCCCTCGCCGGGCTCTGCTGGGGCTCCAGCTCTCATAACCCTCCCGCTGCCCACCCCCACCCCACCGCGACCCCGCCCCGGCCTAGGCGTAGTAACATCTTTCTGCTATTGCTGATCTCAGGGACCCTCAAAACCTCTAGTTGGTTCCCTTTAATGCTGCCCACACTTCGTAACTTGTTCCTTCTTGACTTCTCTTGAATCATCTACATGTGATTCTGTTTCCTGCTAGACCCCCGACTGATACAGCAGGAATTTCAGAATATATATACGGATGTATATGTATGACTGAGACATTATGCTATATACCAGAAATGGACACAACACTGTAAACTGACTATACTTCAATTTAAAAAATGGAAAAAAACCCCACAGGTGAATGAAAATGAATAAAGAAAAAACAGGGATGCAGCTCAGCGAAGTGGAACTCAGGATTTGGTTTGTTTTACCCCTGCTGTCCGTATGAAGAATCCCAAACTTTTAAAGTGTCTCTGGTTTGCTTTTCTGCTGACTTCGAAGAGCCAGCAGGTGAAGGAGGGACCAACC